AATTTGTTTATATATATATATATATATATATATATATATATATATAAGCAAGTTTTATTAAAGTAAAAAAAAAAAGGTCATTATTAAGATGAGAAACATTTTTGTTTTGTTTTCGTTGTAATCATATATTACAACATTATTATTGTTTTGCCGTTAGAAGCTCCGGTTCCCATAGAAACCTGAGGCTGGACCATAGACTGTAAAAAACATGGATGTAGTGTCCGTGATGTCACCTGTTGAATTCTGAAGAGCTTCTTTGAAGCCCAAAGTGGGCGGAGCCGGTTGCCGCCATCTTGGCAGCGCGTCACTCCCGGATAATCGAAAATGGGCAAAGCCCCTGTAAAGATCGTATTCCGGGAGTAAAATACACGTTTTTCGGCGGGGATCTTCAAGTAAAATTCACATTCCAGGGACTAAATATCACGTTATTGGGGTCGCTTCAACCCGCGGACATGAACAACAACCCGCGGCAACAGTGTTAAAGTAGCCCAATACCGCGGACTTGGTAACACTGCTTATGAACCGACCGCACTATAGCGTTTCCTTGTTTACCGCTGTAAACAAAGCAGAGTTGCGCTTTATACGGAGAAGAAAATGCCATTGCCATCGAAACTTTTCTCAAGACAGTTCCCTTCAGTGATACATTAATATAACCCTATAAATGTAATGCATTTTTGTACTTATTTTACTGTTTTTTTCGCGATCGACGGGTTGGCGACCACTGATCTAGAGGAAAACTTTACACAGACAAATAGATAGTTACCTTTTTCACAGACTACTTTGCACAGTCCGCATTCTGTTCGGGACATTTTAAAACACTTAATTTGGCTTAATGCATTAAGACAGAGTTTTTCAAAGACCAAACTCAGAAAACACGTTATTAACAAATCATACTTATGTACAGACAAGCAGATGAGTCCAGGATAAGAACGCAACGCGCGTTTAGCGTTTTCCTCCCATAGAAAACCGTTATAAGGAAAACGTTTACATGGCTTAATGCATTAAAACAGTGCTTGTCTGTACACAGTATGATTTATTAATCATGTTCTCACTGAGTTTCGTCTTTTAAAAACAGTTTTAATCGGTTTTAATTCATTAAGCCACCTTACGAGTTTTTCTTATAGCCTAACGGTTTTCTATGGGAGGAAAACGCTTAACGAGTAACGTTAATCACAGGCCTAACGTTACAGCTAATCACAGTCTGACGGATTCTGGAGTGTAGTAGAGTTTTGAATAAAATTATAAAGAATAAATAAAATTACATTACAATATCACTCACCGGAAAAAATGGATCCCAGACTTGGACGGTCTGTTAGTACAATTAAC